ATGCCAGATCTCACCATCGGTTACTAACTCATCTTTGAAACATCAAGAGGTTCCCAGAGAGGGGGGGAAAGGGAGGGAGGGGGGAGGGGGAGGGAGATGGAGAGAAAGAGGGAGGGAGGAGGAAGGGATAGATAGATAGATAGATAGATAGATAGATAGATAGATAAAAGATAGATGATAAGAGATATATTGAGAGAGAAGATGGATGAGAGAGAGAGGATAGGTAGATAGATAGGTAGATATGTAGGTAGGTAGGTAGATAGATAGATAGATAGAGACCCCCTCTCAACCCTTTTGCTTTTCAGATGGAGAAAGCCGAGGCCTTCCCTGGGAAGGGAGCCCAGGGTGAACTTTATCCACCGACCAGAATCCCAATGGGCTCATGCCAGACATGGGAATCCATCGGCAGCTGCGTCTGCTGACGCTTCGCATTTGAGCAAAGCAGGGAGATAAAATTAGAGCCCGGTTTTGTAGGTTGCCCAGATGAGCAGCTGAAAACCAGACGGGCTTTCTCTGCTTAAGAGTCCCAGGCGGTGCCTTTGGGCCCTGCTGATCCAAGCGCCTCGGATAACTTCCACTGGCACACTTACCATCATGGGCACAGGACGTGCTTGGTCATTCTCACTGGCAAAACCATGGGAGGGGGGAGGGAGAGGATGCCCCCATTAAAGATCGGTAAGCAAAAAGAATGAGAATCTGTTCTCCGCCTTGGGAGACCAGTTCTCTGGTCCCAAGGCCGGGAGGCCACTAGAGGTGGCCCAACAGCCTGGCCAGTTGGCTGAACTATCCTTGCAGGTATGACAGCGTCGGAAGGGTGGCGGTTTTCCCACAGCAGGGACGTGGTCCCAGCTCAACCAAGGCCGCTTTCTGGGGCTGTCTTTGTTGGCCGTGTAGGAAACGGTCGTTCCGGTGGCCGTTCCTTGATGGAAAGGGCGGCCTAAGTGCCAGCCAGAACACTTCAGCCGCCCCGCGGCTGGTTTTGCAACCAGGCAGGCATTCCCTCTAACAGCTCTTCCCCACTGAGGTGTCACTGCTTTGTAGTCCAAAGTCTGGAGAGCGAGTTAATCTTTGAAAGTGAAGGTAAGCTCTCGCTTGGCTGAATGAGTTTTCTTCTCCAGCAAACTCAAAAACACGCAAACCCCTGGGTAGATTTTCAGCTTATCCAAGTGGTTCATTTTACACGGGCCTGATCTTGGTTCAGGTCAGATCACCACTCCGAATGCCGCCATTTTCAGCTGGGAGGGTACCCCCTTCCCCGCTGAATTTCTTTCAGAGAACATCAAGATTGCCCACCCACCCCATTAAATGCCCACCCACCCCATTAAATTATCTGCAGCTGGTAGAAGCAACCCGTGACCCGACAAAAGGGCGAACGACAAAACCGCGCCCGACTAAACCACGTCGCTGACGTCATCAACGCGGCGACAACAGCCAGCGCGGAGAAAGAAGGGCGCTTTAAATAGTGCGTTGAAAGAAAGCCGATTAAACTTAAGGTAAGGGTTAGGTTTAGGGTTAGGTTAAGGGTTAGGGTTAGGTTTAGGGGTTAAGTTTAGGTTTAGGGTTTAA